TTGACATTTAAAAATTCAAGATAGGAGTTTAATGGGATTTCTTAGCTTTACTGTGTTACACTTTTAAAATAGTCTCACAGATTTATTTGGTATTTCTTCATATTCTCTGCTTTTGACATTAGATGCATATACGTGTGGTAGTCGTCTTGTTGCTTTATATATAAATCAGTACTCTTGGTTTACGCGTCAGATTTTTGTATAGGTTTTGCAAGTAAAGCAGTTTTAAACAGTTGTTTTGGCAGTCATACAGCCTCAGGCTTCTTGTTGGCAGTTCAGAGTATATCTGTTTTTTAAGTAAGCTCCAAGCCTAGTGTGGAGCCCAATGTGGGGCTTGGTTGTGAGCAAGACCTGAGCTGAGACGAAGTCAGACGCATAATCAACTGAGCCACCCAGGTGCCCCATATCATTACTTTTTAATGTAAGAATGATTAGTCCTTAAACAGTGTTAAAAAGCCCAAATCCTTCATTCTGATTATTAAAAGAAAAAGGAAATTCTGTTTGAAAATCCTAAAGAAGAAATTCCACAAGTACTTACTCCAGTTGTAACATTTAAATCTCCTAGCCATTAAGAAGTTCCTCTTTCTGTCTTACCTAAATATAAACTCTTTGTTGTATTTTTGAGTCATCTGTGAAAATCAAGGTCAGTTGGTCATGATGTCAGTTTCACATTAATTAAGGAATCCCTGCTTAATATAAAGTCATTTTCAAAAGCTTCAAGCTGCATTCTAAGAGGATGGCTCCAAAACTTGTTTAGTGTCTTTTTCCCAGATTTCCGTGAAAAAAAAAAAAAAAAAAAAAAAAAAAAATTTACCTTTTCAGAGTTGTTCTCCTTCTTTATCGGCCCAATCAGAATAAAGATGGCATTCAGCCTAGGCACCTTCGTACATTCAGAAGCAGTTTGTCTTAGATTAGGATCAGCGATCCCTTTCAGCCTGAGTACCATCAGAAAGTGTAAGCAAGTGACATCCAAGAGGAGGGAAGAAAGAGAAGGTCAGGGGAGAGGAAAAGAAGCTGGCTGTCGCTGGAAAAAAAGATGAGGGGAAGATCAAGGAAAGACGGAAAGAGAAACGAGGAGCACCAGAAGTAGACTGAAGTCAGAAATGCTAGAGGAAAACCCAACGGTGATGGTGGATGCTGGTCGGTGCTTCCTGGAGCAGAGAGCAAGCCCCAGGCGGAAGGGGACGTCATTGGCTGTAGGGCCTACTTGGTCCTCTTGCTACTGCCTGGGTTGCCTCCCTCCCATTGGGGCCAATCCACATTCGAAGCAGTATGTTGGTCATTATCTACCTATTAAGGACTCTGGCAGAAGACTGTGAGGGCTTTCAGAGCAGCATAAAACCATGAACCTGTTCCTTGGATTCTTTTGTTGAGCCATTTCACAGAACCAGTGACGGAGTACACGTTGTCTGTCTCATGAAGTGCCTCAGACTTTTCTACCCAAGTAGAGGTGTAGGGGTGTCGAGGTGATACGAAATGGGTACCCTAGGGAACAAGTGAAATGTCATCCTGAAGTTTCTCAGAAGTCTTTTTATCTTGTAAATCTAGGCAAATTGTGTATTCTGGCCCGTAATAGATCTGAGTTTTCTTTGCTAGCAAAACATTGTCCCACTCCCTCTCACAAATATGAAAATCTTTGATGCCCAGGAAGATGGACTGTGCTTATCTGGTAGCTTCAAGGACCACCCAGCCATCACCCCCCTCCCCGCCCCACCCCGGGGCCACAGTGATAAACTTCACCCCGTGCTCACCCCGTGCATGTTCCCAGCAGTGAATACTGGAGGATGGGCATAACATGTAGCCTTGGACGGGCTGGGCTGCACCCGTGATGACACCTTGGATCTTTTGCTGAGTAAGACAGTGCCTTTATAGATTATGTTAGCCACTGGTTGTATTACATAGACGTCTCTCAGCAGCCCTCTGCTCAAATCTAATAGGAAACTCTTGAGTGTGGCTCGAGTCTAGAGCTCCTCAGGGCATGTTTTTAGACCCTATAAAACCATCTAATTACTTTTCACAATTTTCTTTGGGCTGATGGGTCAGATGTTCCTCTTTCTTGGGCGCACAAACACGATATTCTTTCCCCTCCAAAGGCATCCTACCTAAGTAGGTTCTCCATAAGGTTGCTTGGAAACTTTTAAATAATTCATGTAAAATGTTAAATAGCTCTTGACATAGAGTGAGCTGTCAATAAATGTTAGCTCTGACTTATTTACTGTTGCGACTGTCGTCGCAATGCGTGCCTTCTGTGAGCAGAGCAGCCGTCGTACGTGGAGAGTGAAACTTCATGCTGGTCAGTCATTTTGGGTCTTGAGCTGTAAGCTGATACCTCCTTCATAAAACCAAGAAGTATATATGTATTACTATTACTAAAGAGAATAGAATAACAAATTCTTGAGCAAAAAGTTATTGAAAAAAATGAAAAACCATTAACTATGCTAGCGGGAAAACTTGAACTTGGTTTCACATAATTTAGCGGTGCGGCCAGGTAATGGAGTTCGTGGAGGAACAGGGACTAGCATGGTGCCCAGTTTGTGCTGCTTATGTATGTTGGTTGAATGAATAAGATGGGTTGAGACCTGAATATACACGTGCCCAAATAAGCGAGGCCTTTAAATGTTATTTAATGCTCAGTGAGAAGCCATTTCAGAATTTTGAACAGGGAATTGATGTAATCCATTGCTTGCTTTAGACTGGACGGAAAGGTTCAAGAAGTTATATTTGATTACAGGACTATGGTCAGTTTTTTAAGTTTTTTGAACTTTCTAAGAACTTAGACCCTTCCTAAAGTTTTTAGAGCACATTTTTGAAGGTGACAGTGCCTCTCTACGAGGAGGTCAAGAAGGTGGTGGGGGCAGTGAATTTAAACCTGGGAAGGGCAGCATAAGTACTTTGAGAGCTCCCAAAGAGTTGTCCTTCAAGAGAGTCACTATTTTAGGAAATCCTTGAGTATCAAAATCATAGAAGTTAGAGCTAAAGTTAACCAAGAGGCCCTCGGATGTAACCCTTTTGCAGCCTTCTGTTATACATGAGATCAAGTGGATTCCTCAGGGCCCTTCACCCAGGCCTCCTGATTTCCAGCCTGCGTTGCGCTTTCTCATATGTAATACATTTATGCTGTGGAGAAAGGATGGCGGCGGACTCTTAGGGAGGATTGGCCAGCATAGCTTCACCTTCCTGCTCCAGCACACCTGGATGTTTTCATGTTTTCTTGCGATCTGTTTAAAACGCACCGCTTAGCTATGCATGTAGGTTCCTAAGTATAGGGATGGAAATAAACATGTTATCCCCTCAGAGCACATCACTAAAATATTTTGTCATCTTTTCCCACCAGTCTTTTTTAAAAATACGTACTTCTAAAATTAGAATTCTCTTGTTTTATGCCTTGTTTTTTAATTTAGTATATCCATTTACTTACCTACTTAAACTTTATATATCACTTAAAATGCTTATGTAGTAATATTCCATCTTACTGATGTGTGTGTGTATGCATACATACATACACATACACACACACAGATATATTTACAATGTATATATAATTAAATCTCCATTGTTAGGTCTCAGTTTTTCAAACAAGCTGCTTCTTTACAAATGTACATGACATCAACAGGCTTAGGAGACTTTTAGTCATTCACACAGTAGTTTGAGTGGTTAAAATCTATGTTTTCTTTTTACCATCTGGGTGAGAGCAGCTCGTTAGAGAATGGAGGTTGTGATTTGGCCCTGAGCACATCCTGGGAAGAAAGACTGGGTAGGGGCTGGTGTGGAGAGAAGTACTTCTTCATAGGCCGCTTGAGTTCCAGAAGAGGGTAGGTGCCAGGATCTGGAAGATAATACCGAGTAGGAGGAATTTCAGTATTTCCGTAGGAAGGGCTCTGTTTTCTTTTTCTGGTCCACCTGACCTTTGCTCCAAGGCTTAAACCTCAAGCTCATTTCTGAGTTTTATGGTTCTTCTATGCGGTACTTGTACGAAGTATTGGTTAAAAGGCTGGGCACGTGAGCACCACTTCAGTTATTTCCAATTTCTGACCTAACTCCTTCAAAACTTTTGAGCTTTATTTGTATGAGTTGTGGGTTACCCTCCACCCAAATATTGAGTGTGTGGTGTCAGCCAAATGGAAGTGAAGGGTTCGACATTGACAGGCTTAGCGACTAATCGAATGCCGTTAGGGAAGGACAGGAAAGCATCAAACAGATGTAGGGGCTAAAAGCCTCAGAACTGGTAAAATGAGGAGTGTTGCTGATTTGCGGAGAAACCTGGAAAATGACACCTGAAAACTCATATTGCATTTCGGGAACTCAGGCTGGTGAAAGATAGGGCTAAGGCAGATAAGACTGTAATTTGTAGATATTCTAAACACTCTTATCTTAGCCAGTAGTTTCAGTTAGGGCTTAAAACAACATATCTGTACTTCTAAATATCAAAATGGGTAAGTTTGCATTTCACATGCTCCTCCTTTAGTTGAAAACAATTGATTATATAGGAGAGAGGTGGTATTATAAATCACGTTTTAGTTCTGCTGCTGATTTACTGTATGACATTGGACAAGGCATTTCACTTCTCTGGCTTCTAATCTGTAATTAAAAGGATAATTACTGGTTTAAATAATTTTTGAAGTTCCTTCTGAACCTAGAGTCTTTATTTCTAAAACAAAAAATGACCCAAGGTAGCATTGGCTGTACTTTCTTGAATTTGAAAAATTAAGCAAAATGCTGATCTAGTAGATTCATAGAACTTTTAAGTGTAGCTTCTTGAAGGTGTCCCTCTATCAACTAAAGAACAAATGTCTCAGTTTAATATATGACTGCATAAAAAAAAAAAAAATGCAACCACAGTAGGTGACCAAAGGGGATAAGTAACTTTCAGGAATTTTGAAAGCCCTGTAGTATTTAGTATATGCTCTCTCAGCATTAAAAAGGTCACCTTGCTAATACATGTTAATTTTGAAAGTTGAATTGACCTTTGGAATTTTAATATCAACCTTTTTTGGTGTGTTTAGAGGTTGGAGCAATCACAGAAGAAACAGAAGCCTGTGATTGGTGGAGTTTGGGTGCTGTCCTCTTTGAACTTCTCACTGGCAAGGTAAGCAGTGACCTGGACATTTAATAAGTTTACCCAGATGCTACCTTGATTTCAAATTGAGAACATTTAGCCTTTGCCTTTAGTTTTTAGATCAGGGACTAAATAGGAAAACCTTTGATTTTTTTTTTTTTTTAAGGCAGAAAAAGGCAAGTTTATCTAGATTCCAGATGTTTTAAAAAAAAGTATTACATTGAATAATATAATTCTGTTATATCATAACTTTAGTACATAGACATATTACTAAACATTCTTTCTCTTCATTTTCTGTGATTCAGTTTTAACAGCATTAAATCTGTAATGTTCATGTAAGGATGTATTAGAATTCTCTGGATGTTTTAAACATCTTGCTGGGAAGCAGGAAGGAATTCTCATTTTAGAAAATTAATGTAGATATAAAAGGTAGCATTGCCTTTTTTCTCAATACTGTAAATTTTTCCTATTTGTTCTAGCTTAAGGACAGAATTTATACTCTTTCTGATCAATAACTTTTAAGTAGGATGTTTGAGGTTAATAGACTCTAATAGTATTGTGCACATTGCCTCCTGGGAAGATAACAGAGGAAATGAACAGTCCTACTTTTGTAAGTAGTCATCTACCTTGAATATGTAGGTACTACTGAACTCTTAAGATTGTTGTGGATTATTACAGATCACTTACACGTACAACTAAATCATGAAGTGCTATAAATATATAAGGTGTTATTATTAACCAGTTCTAAACTTAGAAGGTTTTTAAGAACATTAAAAATTCAGAGATACCAAGTCCCTTTTTAAATTTCTGTGTGTAATATAAGGTTTTTTTATTATGAGCCATTCCCTGTATAACTAAGGGGAAAGGGCCAGCAGCAGAAGCTTCTGGTGTGATTTTGATGATTGCCTTCATTTCAGTTCGAAGTCCTATACTCTCGTCGCCCTTGGCCTGAACTACTTAGGAGAGAGACACTGTGTTGATTACTGCACCTCTAGTTAAGATGGTTTTGAGCTTTCTGTACTTGCCGTCCATAAATCTTGTGATAGAACAGTAAATGATGTTATTTGGGATAAGAAGTGTACCTGATTGATTATTTCAGACTCTGGTTGAGTGCCATCCAGCAGGAATAAATACTCACACTACTTTGAACATGCCAGAATGTGTCTCTGAAGAGGCTCGCTCACTCATACAACAGGTAACTTAATTGACCTACTCGCCAAGTATATCAGCCATGCAAATTAGCCGAGTCCATAGTTATAAAACCTTAAAGAAATTAGTTTGGGGCAAGAAAGATTCATTACTAATTCAGAACTGGTACTGTGTATGGTTAAGCTTCTGCTGTTATTTAAGTATTAGTGGGGTCAGAGAGAACAGTTAAAGCTTATTGGTGTTTAAGTCTCCCCCCACCCCAAAATCCAGGCTAATGTTTAGTCAATTTCATATATTTGTGAAGGTGTGAGATTTAAGTATTGTTTTTAGCTTGTCTGGAGCGGCTCTATTTCTGCTCTTATATTTTGTAACCATGTATGATGGCTTTTTTTCTTTTTTTTTTTTTGGCTGGATATTTTCAATCTCTAATTCCTATTCAAAAACTTGGGAATAGGTTACTCAGGTTGCTTTGGAGAAAAGTGGTCTTAGAAAACCTTGCCGAGTTAGATTACTCCTGGCTTCATCCATCGTTGGAACTTGGGCGCTGATGTATTGATGTCAGTGCATTTTTGGTGGCTTTAAAGAAAGAGACTATTACTAATTAAAGTTCAGTATCCCAGAGGTGGGCTTGGAACTCCAGTGAGCTTCTTAAATAGATTGCTCACATTTAAAATGCTCCTCTAGTTTTGAATAGTGAGTTTTGGTGAGTATACTGAGGGTTATCAGCATTGGGGTATGATAGGCTCACAGCAAATCAGCAAGAATTGTCAGGCCTAGGATCCTTATAATTTTATGAGAAATGTAAAGGGAAGGGTTATTTGAAGAAAGATCAAGAACTGATATTTTTGTTTCAAGAAACCTGAATTATTTTTTTTAATCAGAAAAAAACAAAATAAAAAAAAAAGACAAAGAAAGGGGGAGAGGAGAACATATTATTAAGAAGAGAATTACCTAGTATTCTCTTGAAGAGTGATTTGGGTTTCATTCAACAAATACATGCACGAATATGTGTAAGACATAGTGCTGTAAGCCATGCGCCTAAGTATAATAGATGGATTGGATCAAAGACGTCAGAGGCTTAAAAACTACTGTGGCAAGTCAAGATAAGGAGGGGTTCTAGTTGGTGCAGTGATAGTATTAGGAAAGTTTTTGTGGAGTGGATGTTATTTTTGTGGAGCCCTAGAACTTTGGCATGACAAGGTGGGATGTGGGGGGAATAACGTGGCAGAATGAACAGCTTCAATGAGGGAAGGAGTCCCAAAGACTCAAATTAGGAAATCAAAAGTTTGGTTTATCTGGAGTGGAGGGATGAATATAGGAATGAGTAATAGTAGTAGACGGGTGTGGAAAGGTAAGTTGGAGTTCTCTTAAGGGTTTCTGTTATCAGTCACCAGGAAAGAGTGATCATACTTAATTCAGTAAAAAAAAAAAAAAAAAAGATGTTTGGAGTTTTTGTGCAGAAGAATGAAAGGATTAGAGTTGTGCTTTAGGAAGATTAAATTTTCCCAGAGAATGTAGAACATAAAGAAACATAACCAGGTTGGAAATAACGAGATGGGAATACCCTTGAGCACTTTGCAAAAGGATTAAGAGGTAATACAAAGATATAGAATGTGTTTCATTCTAAGGGGAAAAAAGGACAGCTACTCATTTGATTTCATCTTATTTGTTGTGGCACAACAAGGTAAATTCCAAGTATTTTTTTGGTAAATAATTTGAGGAAAGCTAGCAAATGCTTTTTGTTTGTTTGTTTCCCTCCTTAAGGTCCTTATTATATAATATTGAGAATAGAATTCCCTACATAATTTATAAAGGTCTGCTGCTCCTGTCTTTATTAGAAATCATGTATAAAGGAATCTTGGCTAAAGGTATGTTAAATCCTCTGATACAGATATGTATATTATGTAGTAAATCAGCATTCTGTCATTGGCCTGCCTAAGGAAACTACCACTCATGTTGAGGAAACATCATCAGGAAAGGGAAAAGGGGTCTCTTGGCATGATTAGCAATTTGTCATTTTGACTTTCCTCTTCCACTACCTCACAGGTCATGGGGTCATTTAAAAAAAAAATCACAAAATGATTTATATGGAAATAATTATTCTGTTTTGGGGAGATTTCCCCCTCTTTGGTCTTTCAGCTCCTTGCTTTCTTCCTAGATTTCATAATCCCTTGTACCCATGGTTCAGTCATCTCAGCCATATGAATGCTAAAGTAGACGTAGTTATATTTTAAATGCAATTCAAAGAAAGAGGCTTACAGCTCCTCAGAGCACGTATATCTGTACTTCACAGTGTACATTTAGTTAACTGTGACACAGTTGTTTTGTTAGTTGAAAAATACTATATGAGAAAAAAAACCTTCAAAATAAATTTTTGTGTCTTCATCGCTCAGCTTTATTACCTGAGTATTTTTCAGGAGAACAGAGGTTGGCAGTGACTGTTTTGGTTCTGTCACCGGCTAACACATTTGCTTAAGCCACAGAACCTTTGTGCGGTCTCTCTTGAGGCCTGGTATAGTATTTAAAATGGCAGGATAAACAAGATCATCATGGGTAAGACAATTATACTTTTGCCTCTAGATATATATTTACAGATTTGTAGCAAAGTCCATGAACTAATTAAGTTGACTTTAGTCAAAGTCCAAAGTAGGAATCTTTATTGGAATTTCTTAATGAGGTCATGTTTTGGAAGGAATAGGGGTAGAGAAGCCAATTGTAACAAAGAAGAAAGAACTTTTCCACGTTCATATGTTTGCTAAACTACTAAAAATATGCTATAGTTATATTTAATTCGTACCAATATTTGATATTTTAAATTTATATTAAATTGTTTGATGCCTCCCATATTTCAGGTGGCTAGATATGCGTTGTCAGATTTTGAAAATGGTTTTGATCCATTTGGGCTATTCTTAACAATGTTTGTTTTATAATAGCGGCTTTTCACTTAACACCTTTTAGCAATACCTAATATTAAAATTCTTCGAGCAGTTAGCTTTAATAAACAATAGTCATTTTGAATGCTAGATACAGTAATTTCAAGTGAGAGGATTGAGTACAGTCTTTTGAAGTATGTGCTTCCCCCCTCTTGTGTATTTGGTAATATGAAAGTGAAGTAGTAGATTCTTGGCATTTGCAAAAAATTACATACTCACGAAGCAGTCTAATGTTATGTTGAAGAGCATGGATTCTGGAGCCACAGTGCTAAATTCACATCTTGTCTTTGCTACTTACTACTTGTATGATCTTAAATAAGTTACTTAATTTCTGTGAGTCTCTGTTTTCTAGTCTAGAGAGAGAATAGAATAGTAGCTATTAGTATAAAGTTGTTGTGAATTATATCAATTAAACTATGTTAAGTACTTAGAATAATGCCTGGCACACAGTGAGTATCGCATAAATGTTTTATATTGTTATTGAAGGGCAGTGCTGAAGGTTCATAATATATAGTAATTTGATGAAGGATGTGTTGCATTCTAGGGCTGCTGATGTAAGGGTGAGGCAACTGCTGATGATAGAGGTTGAAAAGGTCTAAAAAAGTAGTGGATTGGCACATAATAGGAAATCAATTGATATTTTTCATACAAATAATTGAATTAATGAATTATAAATGAACAAAAAAATAGAAATAAAGGTAAAAAGAGAAGAAACAGAAGTTTTGGTTGAATACATAGAAACATTAATATAAAGAAATCATTTAAATATTTCAGTTTACTATAGGAATATTCTCAAATTTGAATGGCTATAGCCATATGAGGAAGTTGGCACATTCTCTCTTGAGAAAGGAAGTTATAACATTGGACAGAATTGGTGAAAACAACTATCTCGGTGCTCTGGAAATTGATCGGAGGGATACAACAACCTGAAAAGTGTTTATACTTGAAAAACAGCCAAACCTAAGGAAAGAAGAGTGGGACTCTGTGGCAGTTTTGCCTGGGTTGCTTCCATTCTCCTTTCTCTGCTTGGTCAGGTGTGAAGTTCCTTCCAGATTGAAGCAGGCCATGAGGACCAACCCTGAAGTTGCATGCCGGTGTATAGGAGCAGGGAAGGATCCCAGCTGAAAGCAAAAAACCAGGGGAGATTTGTAAGTGGCCTAAAATTTTAATGTGTTCTCCTACGCATGGATAGAGGACAGAAGCTTTAGGGGCTGAGGTTTAAGTACCCTCCTTTCAGTCACAGATTGGCCACTAAGCTATGCACACACAGGGTGATCCTAGGAAGTGAAGCTAAAACAAAAACAAAACAAAAAAAAAAACCACAAGGAAACAAGGATGAACAGAGATAGCAACAGCTGCTTGTTACAAAGAGATGGGAGGAGTAGATATACAGATCTAGTTGAAATAAGTTACCAAACAACAAACCAACCAACAGCAATGATAGTAGTCTTCTTGGGGAACAAAGTTGGGCTCTAGAGTTGCTAGAATATGTCATCCAAAATGTCCCATCTTCAGCAAATATATGATATACACAGAAACAAAAAAATGTGACTCATATGCAGGGAAAAAAAGCAGTCAGTAGAAACTGACTCTGAATGTCCCCAGGTTGAATGAAATAGACTTCAAAGTGGTTATTGTAAATATGTTCAAAGAACTAAAGGAAACCATGTTTAAAGAATTAAAGGAAAGTACAACAATGAATCAGCAAATAGAAATTCTCAATAAGGAGATACAAATTATATTTTTTAAAAAGAACCAAATAGAATTCTCAAGTTGAAAAATACAATAATAACAATAATTATTGTTTTATTTTTTTTTTTAAGATTTTATTTATTTATTTGTCAGAGAGAGAGAGGGAGAGAGAGCAAGCACAGGCAGACAGAATGGCAGGCAGAGGCAGAGGGAGAAGCAGGCTCCCTGATGAGCAAGGAGCCCGATGTGGGACTCGATCCCAGGACGCCGGGATCATGACCTGAGCCGAAGGCAGCTGCTTAACCAACTGAGCCACCCAGGCGTCCCTAATTATTGTTTTAATAATTGAAATTCAGTAGGGGGAAGAATTCATTAGAGCATCTCAATAGCAAATTTGAGATAAATTAGGGAAGAATCAATGAACTTGAAGATAGAATGATAGAAATGATCAAATCTGAGGGAAAAAAAAGACCAGAAAAAAGAAAAGTGAACAGGGCTACAGAAACCTGTATAATAATATCAGATGTACCAGGGAGTCCCAGAAGGAAAGGAAAGAGAGGAAGGGGGAGCAAAAGTATTTGAAAAAGTAATGGCTGAAAACACCCTAAATGTGATGAAAAATGTTGATAGGCATCCAAGATGCTCAATGGACTTTAATTAGGAAAATACACGTAGTTATATTGTTGCAAGACAAAAACAGAGGAAAATCTTGAAAGCAGCAAAAGAAAAACCACTCACTTTATACAAGGAAACCTTAGTGTCTGACTTCTCATCAAAAACAATGGAAGAGGGACGCCTGGGTGGCTCAGTTGGTTGGACGACTGCCTTCGGCTCAGGTCATGATCCTGGAGTCCTGGGATCGAGTCCCACATCGGGCTCCCGGCTCCGCGGGAGTCTGCTTCTCTCTCTGACCTTCTCCTTGCTCGTGCTCTCTCTCACTGTCTCTCCCTCAAATAAATAAATAAAATCTTTAAAAAAAAAAAAAAAAACAAAAAAAAACAATGGAAGACAGTGTACACTTCCAGCTATAAAATAAGTACGTCATGGAGATTAAAAGTACTAGGTAGGGAGTGTAGTCAATAATATTATAATAACACTGTATGGTGACAAACGGTGATTACATCTACTGTGGTAAGCACTGAGTGAAGTACAGATTGTTGCATCAATATGTTGTACACCTGAAACTAATATAACATTGTATGTCAATTATATACTTCAATAATAATGATAAATGATAATAATAATACCAGTGGAAGACAGAAGACAGTGAAATGACATATTCAGAGTGCCAAAAGGAAGTTAATCAACTAAGAATTCTATATCCAGCAAAATCATCCTTCAAAAATGAAGACGAAATAAAGAAATTCCTGAATAAAGACAGAATTCTTTGCTAGACTTGCCTTGCAAGAAACAATGCAGGAAGTCCTTCAGGCTGAAAGGAAGTAATGACACCACATAGTAAATTGAATCTGTAGGAGGAAGTGAAGAAGACTGTAACGGTAAAATATGAGTCGGTGAGAAAGACAATGAAAAAGACTACTTTTTCTCATTTTTCTTCTCAACTTCTAAAAGACCTAAGATTATATGAAACTAATTATAACATGCTGTTGAGTTTATAATATACAAATGTAATATATTACATATATGACAATAACAGACAAAAGGCAGAAGGACTGGAGCTATAGTAGAGCAGAATTTCTGCATTTCACTGGAATTAAATAAGTTAGTCTTAATCTGAAGTAGATTGTGATAAATTTTAATTTTTTTTAGAGAAAGGGGAGGAGGGGCAAAAGAAGAGTGGGAGAGAAAGAATCCCAAATTGGCTTCATGCCCAGTGCAGAGCCCAACGTGGGGCTTGATCCTATAACCCCGAGATCATGACCTGAGTCGAAATCAAGAGTCAGATGCTCAACTGACTGAGCTACCCAGGTGCCCCGTAGATTATGATAAAGTAAGATGCATATTGTAATCCTTACAGCAACCACTAAAAAAAAAAAAAAAAAATAGTAAATGAAAATTAATAGAGGAACTGAAATAGGACAGTAAAAAGTATTGATACAAAAGAAAGCCATAAAAGAGGAACAAAAAAGACAGTAGATGTAGAAAACAAATAGCAAAATGGCAAATTTAAACTCACCACATCAATAATTACAATTCAATATGGATGTCTAAATATGCAAAAACAAAAGGAATTTTATTAAGTATTATTATTAAACTGTATAAAAAGTAAGGTTCAGTTATCTTGTATACAAGAGATACACCTTAAATTCAAAGATACAAATAGGTTGAAAGAAAAAAATGAGAAAAGGTAAATCATGCAGACAGTAACCCTAAGAGAGCTGAAGTGGCTGCATTAAATTCCTGACAAAACAGATGTGAAGACAAAAGACTTACTAGAAACTAAAATACTTCATTGTGACAAATGATCAGTACATAGGAAGATAGAACAATGAATGTATATGCTCTAATAACAGCCTCTATACATATGAAGCAAAATATGACTGAATTGAAGGGAAAATAGGCAATCCGATAATAATAAATGGAAGCTTCAATACCCTGTTCCCGATAAATTATAGAAAATCAGCAAGGATACTGAGAAGACTTCAACAACATTATCTAACATCTCTGGCATATATGGAACAATGATGGCAGAATACATTCTCATCACATGTATGTAGAACATTCTCCAAGATAGATCACCACACAACAAGCTTCAGTATTAAAGGTGGATTAAAATCATACAACATACTCTGATCGTAACAGTTTAATTAGAAATCAGAAAGAGATCTGGTAAGTCCACAAATACTTGGAAATTAAATAACACATTTCTGTGTAACCTATGAGTCAAAGAAGTAGTGTCAGGAGAAGCTAGAAAGTATTTTTAGTGGAATGAAAACACAGAATATATAAAAATTTATCAGATGCTGCTGTCAGTTATTGAGGAAAATTTATGGCTTATAAACACCTATACTATATCAGAAAAGAAGGAAGGTCTCAAATGAAAGTCTTACCACACCTTAGGAAACTAGAAAATTCTTGTGTTATTAGAGCAAAGGTAGGCATATAGATCAATGGGACGGAATTGAGTATCCAGAAATAAACCCTTATATTTATGGTCAGTTGATTTTCAATAAAGGTGCTGAGAGAATTTGATGGTGAAAAAATAGTCTTTTCAACAAATGGTGCTGGGAAAATCAAATAAATGCTAAAACCAAAATGAACTAAGACCCTTACTTCATACCATATCCAAAAATTAACTCAAAATAGCTCTTAGGCTTGTTTAGATGGGAGCTAAAACTAAAAATTGTAGAAGAAACCATGGGAGAAAATCTTCTTGAGGGGTTAGGCAAAGAGTTATTAGATATGACACCAAAAATATCCATAAAAGATAACAATTGATAATGTGGCCTTCATTAAAATTAAAAACTTTTATACTTCAAAAGATATCAGAAAATGAAAAGACAAGCCACAGAGTGGGAGAAAATATTTCAAATCATGTAACTAATAGGGACTTGATTTCAGAATGGGTAGAGAACTGTTACAGGGCTAGGTTGGTAGAGCGTACGATTGTTGATCTTGGGGTTGTAATTTTGAGCCCCACATTGGGTGTAGGGATTACCTAAAATCAAGACTTTACAAAAAAAAAAAAAAGAACTTGTATAACTCAATAAGTAGACAATTCAGTATAAAATGGGCAAAGAGGGTGCCTGGGTGGCTCAGTGGGTTAAGCTTCTGCCTTCGGCTCAGGTCATGATCTCAGGGTCCTGGGATAGAATCCCGCATGGGGCTCTCTGCTCATCAGGGAGCCTCCCCCTCTCTGCCTATTTGTGATCTCTCTCTGTCAAATAAATAGATAAAATATTTAAAAAGGGGGGGGGCAAGATCCACCAAGGAAGCCCTATGAATGGCTTGGCCATGGAAGGATGCTCACCATCATTACTCACTAGGGAATACAAATTCAAATCATAATAAGATGCCAGTAATACCCACCAAAAGGGCTTTAATCGAGATAGACAGTATCAGGTATTTGTGAGTTTTTCTAAACTGGAACTCGCATACATTGCTGGTGGGACTGTAAAATGGTGCAGCTGCTTTAGAAAGGTTTGGCAGTTTCTTAAAAAGCTAAACATAAATTTGCCACATGACCCAGCAGTTTGCTCCTAGGAATATCCTTGAGAGAAATGAAGACATATGTTTACACAAAGACATAAATGTGAATGTTAATAGTATTGCTCATTATGGCCTCAGTCTGGAAAGACTACATGCCTGTTGACTGGTGCAGATTAACAAAATATGTTCTCTCCGAAAAATGGAATACTATTCAGAAGTAAAAGGTAACAAGCTGTTGGTACTGCTACAACATGGTTGAATCTGAAAAACATTATGCTAAGTGAAAGAAGGCAACTACAAAAGGCAAACATCTTTTATGAGTCCATTTACATGAAATACCCAGGAAGGTCACATTTATAGAGACTAAAAGCAGATCAGTGTTTGCCTAGGGCGCGATAGAAGTCAGAATTAAAGCAGACAGCATGAGGAGACTTTTGGGTGATTAAAGTATTCTGAAACTGGATTGTGTGATGGTTCCACAACTTTTTACACTTACTAAGAATCACTGAATCGTATACTTACAGCAGATGAATTTTATGCTGTAGAAATTATCCCTCAGTAAAGCTGTTAAAACAAAATTTGAGGATGCGTGAACATCTCAAGACACATTATTTCAGCATGCCCGTGAAAGGAGTAACTGGATGTCTCAGATTTGGGTGCAGTATCTAATTAATGTCATGATGTGCTTTGGAATAGGACATTGATAGGTGTAACTGTCCTGTTATACTATGAGTTGGAGAGAACCGAAGTGAGTTACTCGAGGTCGTGTTTCAAATCAGTTGAAAAGCCACCTCAAATATCCCCCACCATCTCACAGCTACAGTGGTGTTAGGCATAGCTCCCTTCCACGGCAATCTCATGAGTTGGCTGTTCATCAAGTCCATTGTCACTAGGGTTGAATCGAGCAGTTCTTTCCTTTCATATATTTTTGTTTTCCTTTGATTCACCACTTGGATTCCTATCACTCACTACGTCCTTCCTTCGTAGCTCTTGCAGTTCAATCCTGTGGAGCGTCTTGGTGCTGGAGTTGCTGGTGTTGAAGATATCAAATCTCATCCATTTTTTACCCCTGTGGATTGGGCAGAACTGATGAGATGAGCATAAGACAGGGTTCTCTGCACACATTCCGACCTTCTCTGTGACAGGCGTCCCCAGCACAGAGGCAGCCCTGCCTCGCACTCGCCGATGGAGCACCGAGACCTTGGGATAAAGACCTTTAGAGGAAATGGAAGAAAAAAGGCTGAAAGAGAACACTTTCTTTACTGTTATTTTCGGGACAGGATATTGGCTACACTTGCAAGGGGCATTTACATACAAGCCTTTAGACAAGGTGTGATCTTTATCTGCAATTAGTGTTGCAGATGAGTTGTAAACCCAACGGAAGAAGGAATGCCCTTCAAGAACTTCCTCTAAAAGCTCCAAGTGTACATGTAGGTGTTACTTGAAAGGAGGACCTTTACGTGGCAGCTAATAGTAACTTTCTGCTAAGCAAGATTGGCTTATACGATCATAATTAATATTTGCTGAATAATACACTAAAAGCGCTTCATGAATAGTGTCATCTGTGGAGCTTAAAAAGTGAGAAAAAAAGAATATATACATCATGCCTGATAGAAAACATGTACCATGATACTTTATAATTAGGGTATGCTGAATGTGGTTCCATATTGTTTCATCCTTTCAGAAGCCCACCGAGAAGAAAACACTCACGTTGCCAACTTCATATGCTTTGTTGGTTAACTATGGAAGGGTTCATATAAACACTTGCTGTCTCTCTTCAGCTTCATCTTTCTGCTCCCTACACCTGTTGCCTTTTCTCTCATATCTGTTGCCCCTTCCTCTGCTAGTACATTTGCAACAAAAAGGGAAGGGAGTATTTACTTCCCCAAATTGTATCAGCTTAATAAGGACTAAGAAATCATGATTATAAAATAAACGTGATAAAAATTGAAATCTCTCTTTCATTTAATGGCTTAAGTTTTTTGTTTTGCTTTGTTTTAGGAAGGCCTCTCCTTCTTTCCTCTTGGACTTTTAGCAATTTCTGCTGCTTCTTATGCTTAACTTCATTTTAGGTTTTTGATTTGGTATAATAAGGACCAAAGGATCTCATCTAAATAGAAGTGAATGGCAATCCTATTTTATTACTTAGTGGTGGGATTTCCAGGTCTGACCTCCTAATCTACGTGACACGATGTAGAAAGAATACGAGTTTTACACCTCTCCCAACATTTGTATTTGTTATTTCTGTATGTTGCTACGATAGCTCCTGCATTTGTGCCTTGTTTATAACAGCTTAAAAATGTTTTTGAAGCATTACTGTCTGTTTTTAAAACTTTATCCAAAGGAGAAAGAATAAGTCAGTTTTTCGGAGTTAGGAGCCATCAGAAATAATGAAGGTCTTCCATATATTTTAATCCTTTGAGTTTTTGAGCTCTGTGTGGGATCCCATTCCTTCTCCAAGAGCATCTCTACAGCTTCCATCTGCCGTCAGCCGGGTCCTCCCACCGAAGTAAATGGAAGCAGAAAATGCTTTAGTGAAACAAAGGAAATGTGCAAGCATTTTTTTCTTTTTCTGTTTTCCTACCTCCCCCTTTTCCTTCTGGTTCCCTTATAACCTGAACGTCAGATGAAGGACTGCAACAACACCAGGATGGCGAGCAGGTCACCAGGATCAAAGCGTGATCAAGATGACATCACTCCCTGGAACTGGGTTTCAGCTCACCAGCCCCCCTGGCCTCATAACAGGAACTTGTGCAGGTGAGACCAAAGAATGACTTCCTGTGTGGAACCAGTAGGAAATCTGCAAGTACTTAGAGCTAGCCATGGCAGAGCTTCCTTCCAGAAGTGCCCTCTGACATGAAAGTAGGACTTCCCAGCTAAGGTGAAGCTCCCAGCCCCGCCACGTGATTCTGGTTCCTTGGATTCAGGACAGTAATGTCGACAGATGGCTGCTGTGACCGTGTGTTGACAGTTCCATTGCTTCAATTCCCTCGCTCTCTGTGTGGTTGGAACTTAATGTAAATACATCATCCATAATCATGATGGACATGAATTATTATCGTAAGAAACACGTAAGATATGGCTTTGGGGGTGGTGAACCCAAGTCTGTTTTTATTTGATGATGTATATTAAAATACTAGTATTTCTAATGCTTTGGGTGATCCTGCTTTTTTGTTGTTGTTTTTAATTTTTATTTTTTTGAGCATATAGCCTGTGGGCCCAAACATAACTTGCCACTTTATATTTTTCATTTGATTTTTTTAGTGAAATAAAACACATATAACATAAAATTGACCATTTTAACCACTTTTAAGTTTACAGTTTAGTGGCATTAAGTACATTCCCATTTTGATCCAGCCATCACCTTTTCGTTATCCCAAACAGATCTGCACCCATTACACAGTAACTTCCCATTCCTCTTCCTCCCAGCGCCCCTAATAACTACTCTTCTACTTTCTGTCTCTTTGAATTTCACTCTTCTAGGTCTGTCATGTAAGTGGAACCCTATAATGTTTGTCTTTTTGTATCTGGCTTATTTCACTTGGCATAATGTTTTCAAGGTTCATCCATATTAGAGCATATATCAGAATTTCATTCCTTTTTAAAAGCTGAATAATATTGCCCTGTATGTAGAGACCACATTTTGTTTAGCCATTCATCTGTCATAGGACATTTGAGTGTTTCCTACCTTTTGGCTGTTATGAACATGGATATATAAACATCTGGTCAAGTCCCTACTCTCATTTGATTTTTATATTTTTATGTGAAATCGCCAATGTCATTGACTGTTATTTTACGGTGCTCTTTGTAAGACAGCTTTTCCACCAGGTGGTCAGTAACATAGTATAATGCCACCTATCGTAAGAAAGGATATGAAAGTCAATCATTTCTGTTTCACGGAAACAGAGTTAAGCTCCCTAAGAGTAAAAAAAAAAAAAAAAAAAAAAAAAACCCATTTTTTTTTTTTTTTTTTTTATTTTAAAGATTTTATTTACTTATTTGACAGAGAGAGCACAAGCAGGGGGAGTGGCAGGCAGAGGGAGAGGGAGAAGCAGTCTCCCCAAAGAGCAGGTGGAGCCCAATGTGGGACTCCATCCTGACCGGAGCTGAAGGCAGTCACTTAACCTAGTCCCCCAGGCACCGAAGAATGCCATTATTTTACCAATTTAACCATTACGTGAGTTAAGACTTCTGAGACATAGAACTTTGCAACTTACTTGTTACAATATCTGAACTCTTGATAACTTAAACTTGCCTTTTAAACATTTTAGAACAACTACAAATTCTGCTGTATTTTGACCCTCAAGTTTTTTCTATCCTGTCTTATTTCAGTCATTGTGAACCATGATCGGGTTTTGCTTTCCTATGATGCATATACTGAAGAACATAAAATTTATAAACAATACTTATGCTATGGCCAAAAACACTTATGTGAGGACCCTCTACATGATTTGTTGAATTCGGTTGCCCATATTTATGAATCCAAGCAGAGAGAAATCTGACTGTACTGGCTCTTGACTTGTGCAAGGGACCCCTTACAGCATCTTCTTTGGACTCACTAAGGGAATGCTCTGTTGCAAAGGCCAAGGCATAAGCTGGATCATTCTTCTTCTGGAGAGTAGTTGGTTTAACCTCTGGTATAACTAAAGCTCTGCATGGTGAAGCCGGGTATTTCAAGCTCTTTTTCTGAGGACGGTGGAAAATGAAAGCCGTAGAGTGGGGTCCTGGTCCTAGCTCTGTGAGTAACCAGCACATTACCTTAATCAAATAACAATATTCTAGACTCACTCCCTCCCCTACAGAATGAAGTAGTGGGTTAGTTCTAAGCTCCACAGCGTATGATGGACTTTCTGTTTTTCAGAGTGAACTGAAATGTGATAAACTAGCATCGTAGGAAGACAAGGTTAGTGAAAATCTTAAATTGGTACTTAACTGTTTTCTTATAATTTGTTTTCTAGTAATAACAGATACTTCGGTTGCTGCCATGTACCCACTCAGCAGCATAGCCCTTAGTGGTTATGTGGCTATAAAAATTATAAATAGAACGAAATATTAAAAGGTTATTTCTCAGGCAGCTCTACACTGGAAAAGGAGAGTTGAAGGTCCAGAGAGAAGCACAGAGAGGTGAAAGGAGGTTAGGACACACCTACATTTGCTCACTTCTTAGACCTTTCTCAACAACTGTGGTATTATTTCTACCCTCTTGCCCTCATCTATCATATGTTATGTGGGTTTTGTTTTGTTTTGTTTTTTGGACTCAGTTCTTTGGCAGGCATAATCAGAGTACAAAATTGATACTTTCTGTTCCTATTTAATGCAGAACATTAACCTCTACCAGTCTAGGTAATTTGGACTTTGGAGTATTTGATGTCTCCTCCCCTCAGTTTAAGGATTTCATATTAAGTCCTTATGCTGAAGTGTTCTAAATGGCAAAAGCTGTGAAGTCAGTTCTTTCTAAATAAAGTTGTAAACATAATAGCGGCGGGGGAATGGGAATCAGAATATTCCAGGTCTTTGGGACTCGCCATCATTCACTTTCTCAAGGACAGTACATAGGAAGCTGGAGAATAGGCTTCCTCTCTGGGAAGACTTATAATAGTGGTGGCATAGAGTCAGATGGTATGGCTTGGTATTTTTTGGTCCCAATCACATGACTTCTTCCCTGGATCCAGATATCTCACCTCAGGGAGAAAGAGAGGCAGAGAACATTTGTGGAGGTATAAGAGAGAGAGTAACTTGAAGGAGGTGGTCTACGGAAGTGGAACACGCACTTGTCAGGCATGCTGGCCTGGTTGTCTGGAGCAATAGCGAGCCTGCTTTGTTGAGCTAGATTTAAAGGGCAATTCTTTGTTCTGCTTCCAGGAAGAGGTAGGCCCAAACTGAAGCAACTCCTACTCGTCCAGGAAGAGAGATCCCGAACTGCCTTTTTGGAAAAGGATTAAATGACAGGCTTATCAGAGTCTGTTCTATCTCTTTCTCCTTGCTGAAGACAAGCTGGTATGGCTGGTGCTAGAGGAAGAGGCAGGCCCCGAGTGTCTGCAAAGAGCAACTGTGATTTCTTTTGGGCGGAAGTACCTCCCACTGAATGTTGTGAGGAGGAGTGACAAACGAACCAGCTTTCCGTCACACGGAAGAGTTGCTGCTATCCTGTTTTTGTGAACCCAAAAGAAATTTCATATCAGAAAGGTAACCCTTCTGGTCATGTTGATCAGATTCCTCCTAAAGTTAATCCACAAGGCAGGAGTTTGACCGAGCCACCAGAAAAGGCAGATGTCAAAGGGGACTTGACAAATGTAAAGAGATTCAAGTCTGTTTCAGTGGTCATGATGGCAGGATGATGCTGCCCTTTTCATGTGGGACGTATACATACAACTGAGTCAAGAGTGACAGAAAACAAAAAGAAAAGGGGGTATAGGGTTGGTAAAACAAAAGAAAACTCATAATTACTCAGTCTCTTGGGATTGTCCTGGAGAGAAAATGTGTTAAATATTTGAAGACTCTATCTTCAGCAAAAAGATTCTGAATGACTAAGAAAACTTTAGAACTGAGTTTTCCCCCTCACCATGCCCTCCTACTGTTTGCTCATTTCTTCCTTTTTCTCTCTTCATCTACCGTTCTTCCCTGTTCTGGACTTCTCTGGTCACTGAACAAAAGACATGGTGCCCGTCTTCAAGGACCTTGTAAAACCCAGGAGAAAGAAAGCATAAATAACAAGTAGGGCAGGTTGTTGTGAGCATTCTAGGGAACAAATAAGAGTATGGTGAGCACACAGAGGAGAGATCTGAAGAACTGCGGGGAAGCTTCTTGTATTGGAACAGTAGCCTGAAGTTTGAATAGTATTTTTAAACATGAAGACTTAAAAAAAAAAAAAAAAAAGATTTTGTTTGAGGAGAAGGAAGAAGAATTCCAGGGGAGCCAAAAACAAAACAGCAAAAACCACACATACAATTGTGCACAAAAAACATGGAGATAGGGAAGTGTAAAGCTGTGCATGTTGTTTGGGGTTTGTGGGTACATGAATCTGAACGGTAGGTTGGGGTCAGATTAAATGCCATGCTGAGACATTTGGATTTTGTTCTCTGGGTTGTAGGGAACTAGTGAAGGTTCTTAGCTGACCCTATTGCAGGCTGCCGTTGAAAAGATGATTTTAGGGTACGAATGGAGAATAAATTGGGGAATGGTTAGAGGCAGAGAACTCAGTTAGGAGTCGTTGCAGAAATTCAGGCCAGAGCTGAAGTCCTGAATTAAGGTGGTAGGAAACAAAGGAGGGGATACATAATCGTCTTCTTGTCCGTGTCTCTTGTGTATAGAGTAGAGTTTCCCTATCAAATAATTGCTTTCCTTTTTTCTTGAAGCCGGTTTATACCGGGAGATTATGGATTTGTTGTTTTTAAAAATCACCCCCAAGGAATCTCCAGAGAGACAAACCAGGGGAGCTTACACATTCTCCCCATTGGTTGATAATGGTATTTACTATGCAGAGCTTAAAACTCCCCAGGTCCCAGCTCACTTTCTGTTATCATTATGTGGCACTCCTTCCCACCCTTGGCGTTTAAATGATTGGTTTGCTTCCTACTTGAACCGTGTTCCACTCTTGCTCTCTGCCAGGTGCTTGCTCTCTGTCCCAGACCTCGGACACATCTTTAGCTTAGCCCGGGGGTTCTCAAAAAAACTGGTCCCAGTCTGGGTCAGGGGAATAGGGTGATTTTTACACTTCTTGCAACTTTTAAGTTTGAAATTATTTCCAAATGAAAAAGTTTCAGCAAAATGAAAGAGAAAGTGATCCCCAGACCAGGAATGTGAGCATCACCTGGGAACTTGCTAGAAATGCCAATTCTCAGGCCCTTTCCCAAATCTACTGAGTCAGAACTCTGGGCCCCCCCCCGGCCCCCTGCACAGCAATCTGTTTTATTAACAAGCTCTTCCAGGTGATTCTGATGCAGGAATTAAATTTGAGAACCACTGGCTTAGTTTAACAGACACTTGTTGCTCCGCCTTATGTGATCATATGCAGCCCTCCTTATGATAATGTGTTTTGAGTTTGAAGACATTTCCCAACACTTAGAATATTTCCCAGGTGGCTGAGCCAGGGAGGCCTTGCATCAGTGGGAATCACCAGAAGTGAGGACATGGAGGAAGGGAA